TCATTATCCTCGTGTCCATTACAGCAATTGTGATGCATGCGACTGTCCGGGTAATGACGGCTCGGGGTATACGGACGTGATGAATGTTGTACAAGACGACTGTCACGACATCACGACGCGCGCCTTGACTATCTCGTCTGCGACGCGTCCACGGTTCTCAGTCGACGAACGACCCTTCGCCAGAGTGAAAATACCACGACGAGACTACAAATAACAACTGTCACGACACCCTCTACGACTCCCTCGCCTGTGACGCAACAACGATTCCGAAACCACGACTAGCCTGGTGAACTACTGTACACTCTTCTCTCAGGATCAGAAGGACTCAATGCAACAGTTCCACCACAATGACTGTCAACACCAACATGGCGAGGATCACAATGTAACCACAGTAAACAAGTTGACTCATACACCACGACACCTCTGTAAGACGACACGAGGTCTGTGATAATGAATAACAAAGATTATCTCTCAAGTTTATTGTTGGAATGACTGCTTCAACGAGTGAGTGACAAGGCGATCTACACACACACACACACACACACACACACACACACACACACACACACACACCTATAAACATTTCACTCTCACACCTTCCTTCTACTAATCACTGATAACATAGATCACCTGAATATTGGACACCCCAGCTTATTTCACCTCATGATTAACCACCCTAATGCTAACCTAACCTACCCCCAAGGTAGCATTAGGGTGGTTAATCTTCAGGTGATCCAATACATTAACCTCCATTACCCAAAACAAAGAAGCGAGGTGAACTTATAGCACATGAATATATTTAATATATTCATGGGTAAATGATCACCATTGAGTGGCTTCGTGTAGTGGGGAAAATCAATGAGAAATGAAACTCTTGCAAATACAACCAGGAATTATGTATGACGTCATTTACGACTATACACACAACACGCGCCAGATGTCATGACGGGGATTTTGAAGGCTATTCGCATACCTCGGTGACGTCACTACCTGTACGAGGGCGAAATATCCTACAAATGATTGCCTGTCGAAAACGTATATGGTAGTACTATACTACCTGCTGCTAGGGTGGGGGGTGAAGGTGGCAGGAGAGGAAGAGGGGTGAGGGGGAGAGGAAGAGGGGTGAGGGGGAGAGGAAGAGGGGTGAGGGGAGATGAAGAGGGGTGAGGGGAGATGAAGAGGTGGGGAGAAGGAGAGGAAGAGGTGTGAGGGTGGGGTAGAGGGAGAGGGGTGAGGGAGAGGATGAGGGAGAGAGGAGCAGGGATAAGAGAAATGGGATGAGAGAGAGAGAGAGAGAGAGAGAGAGAGTAAAGAGGAAGGAATAGGGATGAGGTAGACTGGTAGAGGGAGAAAGAGAATATGAAGAGGAAGGTAGATAAAAGAAGAAGAGAGAGAGGGAGGGAGGGATAATTCTGTTTTATATACAGTACAACACTATCATCTTGGCAGCGGTATGGTATAGTACACGTCAATCACAGTTTGATGAATGTTGAAAAATATTTAATTACGGTTCGGAAACTTATATCCAGTAGTCTGTATCAATAAATGTTCATAAAATTATAAATAATTATTATCATAATACTCCTACACTGTCCCATGAACCGAGGTTTAGTATTTACCGCGCCATTAGAGTCTCATCCAGTAAGTGATCTGTTTGTATATGGAAGAAGTTGGTAGAGAGACTTTTTTATATTACCTCATTTAGGTTACCAGAACTGATGCAACAACCTTAAGACTGATAATTCCTGGTAACTCCTCCTAATCTGTGTGGACCAAACCTAAATATTGTCATCAGGAAGCGTAAACACAGCCCTGGACTTACGGGTCACCACCAAACAGCTCATAAATTATATTTCGTGTTTCTACCGACATCTTACTCATAGTTGGTATGAAATACAAGTTGGTGTAGAAGTAACAGATTGAGTGTAGCTTACTAAAAGTTGATTGGGGTGTAAAAATAGCCTACAGTTGAACAGAGGCTAAAACACGTTCACTTACCACAGTAATTACGTCCATCATGTACAACCCATCAAATTAAGATTTTATAATTTGGTATCATTATATTAGTTATGTCGCAGTACCTTGGTTGTTATAGTGTTCAACACATCACCCTCACTTCATAATGAGATGCTCACGTCATTAATATCGGGTGATTTAAGTCTCTACTACGGATTTGAGTGTGTGAGGGGTGCAGTGTAGCGCTGTCAGGCATAGTGTTGTACTGCAGATCAGTTATTGATATGCTGTCAGCTTTGTTCTTTATATATTTCAATTGTCACAAACACGTTAAGCTAAAGTAGAATATCAGATATATTATGGAAACACTGGATGTCTGACCACTAATAAGCAACCAACACAGACGAACACTTGACCATATTATCATAAGATGAAAGTAACAAAAAATATATACATATATATATATATATACATTATAAAAAATAAAGCTTACATGTGATAAGTGTTCTTCAGCAATGATGTGTGCCCCCCAACACTTGTCAGTAAATTATAATTATTGTCAAGAAAAATACAGTGACTCACTCACGATCTATGAAGACAAACACACGGACACTGTACATCTAGATCGGAGCCCCAACAGAGCACAATATACACCAAGTACTTGGCTTCATGCATAAACTAAAACTGCCACAACTCATAATTCTCTGGGACTCACACAACTCATGAATAATGAGTAACACCATCAAAGGAGACCCGCGGAGTGTGAGGATGATACGCCAATTCAGAGTCCAATATTTGTGTCTTCCTCGGACCGTATCGAGTCTCACTTGTAGGAAGAAATAAACTGATGCCATGACAGGAGTGAAAACAGTAGGGTATAGCAGAAGGGTACAGCAGAAGGGTACAGAAGCAGGGAGCAGCAGGGCACAGCAGTAGGGTACAGCAGCAGGGAGCAGGGTACAACGATAACAAAGTAGCGAGTGATGATTTGTGTTGCAGTAATGTGTAGACTTGTGCTATAATGACAAGACAACCCGTGTTACGAAGTGTGGCATAATTTGAAGTGTTTTAATAGGAGGGATTGGGGGTGCGGCAATACAACGCTGATATCGCACGGGGCACCCCTAATTGACCCAGCTGTGAAGGGGTACCTGACCGTACAGTTGAACATGGGAACGACTTTAATAAGCGGAATAATATGTAATAAGACAGTCGGAGGTATAAGTGTCATAGTCAGTAATGAACAGTATATAAGTCACTTCATTGCCCCCCTTTCCAAAATCTCTTACTTCCATTTTCACAACCTATTCCACCCTTATCTCCTAAACCCCTTCTCCCCACCCCTCCCTCCCCTTTCCATCCAACCCCCTCACATTCTCCCTCCCTTTGCTTACCTTAACAGCTACTTTCATGGGTGTAATTACGACAAATTAAGCAAAACTGACAATACCTTTAATCATAATTGGTGCAATAATGCCAACTTACCTGTAATTAACTGTATAATGTACGCTGTATGTTAACGAGGTAAAAAATATTACTTTATTATAATATGAATAATAAATATGTGTTAAAAATAATTAATATGTGTAGAAATTAAGTGATAAAGATATATTATACTATGATAATGTACAGACGAGTTCAATTTAAGTATAAAAGGTGTGGAAATATGATTAAAAAGGGTGTCATAGTATAAAGGTGAAGTAGGCAGACCTGACAAATTATAGTATAAGAACATAGATCGATCCTGAACCAACAGTCGTAAATTTAGGGATAACTTGTCATTTGCTTTTGTTATTCACCCGTTATTAATTATGCAAATTATGATTATACTTAATACAGTGTATAAGTATACATAAATAACTAAAATAACTCAATGAAAATAAGAGGAATATAAAGAACGTGTATGATTTTATGAGCATTTATCATATTTGTTTTTAGATATTGTTGTATTCAATTCATACAGAAAGAATCATACAAGTTTATATACGATCCTACAGTACACATTGTGTGAACTAAAGATAACTATACAAGATGTGTTAATAAATACTATCACGAGGCTAAACAAGACGAAAATACAAACTTAAGAGGAATACCTACCACTCACACTGATAAACATATACACTGACGTTCACCAAACTACACATAAATATACAGTCACAAGCTCGCCGACACACACACACACACACACACACACACACACACACACACACACACACACACACACACACACACACACACACACACACACACACACACACACACACACACACACACACACACGTTCGTTGAAGTTAACAAAGCCCCAATGAGTGTCGTCTCCCAGTCTTACCGAAACCTCGATAAGGATTCCACTTACGGACTCCAATTAAAATTGTCTTTGAATATTATAATGATTATCAACATATCCGCGGACTGTTTAATGATGTCCTCGTTTAAAATCACTAGTTAATGATACTCCTGGTAATTATGTGTACCTGTGCAATAGTTAAACCAGGATTTAACCCCAACACCACAGGGACGCTACTTGTAATATTTGATTTAGTTAATGTCAGGTGATTTTATTCAGCTCAGAGGGGAACCTGTACATACGGGCTGAGTAGACTATTTCCACTAAGGTAATGTTTTTGTGTTTTTTTGAGTCTGTTAAACGAACATTAAATACACGTGTTCAACATCATCATCATTATCTGGGTATTTCAGTTTGCTGTTAAATTAGTACAAACAGGTTGGGGAAGCAGGTGTGTAGACGACGACACACCTGCCGAGGTAATGTGTACCGGCGGCGTGTAAACTGGCTAGAAAATATGCTTAAAAATATCAATTATCATCCACAAAATATGTCTAAGAATGTGTACAACTGTCAGAGTCACTGTTGAACATTGCCATCACCTGTCAGAGGAGATTGGTGCTATTACCAACAACTGTAATGTGATTCTTAATATAAATAATTGTGTGTGTGTGTGCGTGTGTGTGTGTGTGTGTGTGTGTGTGTGTGTGTGTGTGTGTGTGTGTGTGTGTGTACGTATATATGAGACCACAAGTACCTGTATGAGGTGTCGCTTCAAACGATAGACGGTTGTCATAGGAAAGTCTAACATCACACAAACCTGTTGAAGGAAAAGTTGGAGATGGGACACACTTGTAACATAATACTCCTTCACAACAATGAGCCACTTTCATGGTTAATCAAACTTCCTACATAACTATGATCATCCTATTAGTGCTTTAGCTGAAATATAATAGTCTAAGATCGTGCACAATAGTTTAGGGTTTGAGGTGTTAGCATGGAAGTGGGCATCGAGAAGCTGCTGGGAGGGAGGAGGAGGAGGAGGAGGAGGAGGAGGAGGAGGAGGAGGAGGAGGAGGAGGAGGAGGAGCAGGAGGAGGAGGAGGAGGGAGGAGGAGGAGGAGGAGGAGGAGGAGGAGGAGGAGGAGGAGGAGGTGAGTGGCAGTGGCACCTGAGTCAACGCACCACACGGGTCGCCATAACTACTAAGTGACGGACCAAGTTAGACTTTTAGTATAGACTATTCGTATATAAAACACACACAAACACACACAACAAACATTTCTCAACCCAACTACTCTATTAGCGCCTTAACCTTTGCTGATACAACTCGGCTCAACTCAACTACCAGAAATACCTAACTAAATCAAACCGCCGTAAGTAATAGCGATGATGGCTTATTCATTTACCACTAATGGCTACTGAGAACAAAGTATTACCAGTACAGGAAATCGCGTGACCAGAACCGAACGCGAACACTTGGTCAATCTTAGACATTCCCTCGTTACAAATTACAGGTATCGATTACACCTCATTCATAGCGTCCAATGCCACGTTTTTCTATACGATCTACAATATTTTTTTTTCTATTTTGATTCAGTTTATTTTCAAGTAATTCAGGATTTTTTTTATGCTTAACAATACGTGACAAACTGAAGGAATAGTTATTGTTGAATATGTATGTATGTATGTATGTATGTATGTATGTATGTATGTATGTATGTGTTTAAGTCATACATTTATCTTTTGGGCGTTTTAGTTCATTTACAACATCAATTACCTTAAAAATAGTCAAATTTAATTTTTTGCGAGATTTTTTTCTTTTTTTATCACGGAGTCGTTTTACGGAGTTTATTAGTCTAGGGAGATATGTGTGTGTGTGTGTGTGTGTGTGTGTGTGTGTGTGTGTGTGTGTGTGTGCTTTACTAATTACTGACGTGTGTTTAATGCCTTAGTTTTCCGCAGATGATTTCTTTACGAGGTATTGATTATCACATAACCTGCCTATAAAGACGATTCAGAACCTATCACCTTTACACATAAAAAAAAAACAATTCAATATCTCTAAACTTAACGTAAAAACACACACACACTAATAACATTTTGATAGATACAAAATATCCTCTACCTTGCTCTAACTCTTAACCTGCAGTACGGCAAGTCAATTGATTCTTGCAACAGCTCGAACAGATTGCGGCGTAGGTTTCTACACGCCAATTAACTTAACATAAAACTATAACAATGTGATATCTAGATGTAATTGAGGTACTTATCGCCAGCTGTTCCCTTTTTTTTAGGGCGTAACCGAAGGCTATATTTTTTAATGTGTATAATTAGCCCGGAGTAAGCGGATAGCGGTGTGTGTGCTTAACCTCAACCTGATCTTGGTCAAATGAGCACGGCTTTCCCTTGTGTGGTGCCTGGCTTATACCATGTTGTGTGTTGTGGGGGAGGCAGGTGGTGGTGATGTGTGTTCTGGGGGAGGCAGGTGGTGGTGATGTGTGTTCTGGGGGAGGCAGGTGGTGGTGATGTGTGTTCTGGGGGAGGCAGGTGGTGGTGATGTGTGTTCTTTCAGGTGGTGGTGATGTGTGCAGGTGGTGGTGGTGTGTGTTCTGGGGGAGGAGGCAGGTGGTGTGTTCTGGGGGAGGCAGGTGGTGGTGATGTGTGTTCTGGGGAGGCAGGTGGTGATGTGTGTTCTGGGGGAGGCAGTGTGGTGTGTGTGTTCTGGGAGGCAGGGTGGTGGTGATGTGTTCTGGGGTGAGGTTCAGGTGGTGGTGGTGTGTGTTCTGGGGGAGGCAGGTGGTGGTGATGTGTGTTCTGGGGAGGCAGGTGGTGGTGATGTGTGTTCTGGGGAGGCAGGTGGTGGTGATGTGTGTTCTGGGGGAGGCAGGTGGTGGTGATGTGTGTTCTGGGGAGGCAGGTGGTGGTGTGTGATGTGTGTTCTGGGGAGAGGCAGGTGGTGTGTGTTCTGGGGAGGCAGTGGTGGTGATGTGTTCTGGGGGCAGGTGTGGTGGTGATGTGTGTTCTGGGGGGAGGCAGGTGATGTGTGTTCTGGGGAGGCAGGTGGTGGTGTGTGTGTGTGGTGGTGATGTGTGTTCTGGGGGAGGCAGGTGGTGGTGATGTGTGTTCTGGGGAGGCAGGTGGTGGTGATGTGTTCTGGGGAGGCAGGTGGTGGTGATGTGTGTGTTCTGGGGGAGGCAGGTGGTGGTGATGTGTGTTCTGGGGGAGGGGTGGTGGTGGTTCTGGTGGGGAGTGCTGGGGGCAGGTGGTGGTGATGTGTTCTGGAGGAGGCAGGGTGGGGTGTGTTCTGGGGGGAGGCAGGTGGTGGTGATGTGTGTTCTGGGGGAGGCAGGTGGTGGTGATGTGTGTTCTGGGGGAGGCAGGTGGTGGTGATGTGTGTTCTGGGGGAGGCAGGTGGTGGTGATGTGTGTTCTGGGGGAGGCCGTAAATGCATGAGACCTTCCCATCATTATCGGTAACTAGCGTAGCAAAGCCGACAATGAGTTGTGTCAGGTCGAGTCTGTAGCGGCTGCAACGTCGTAAAAAAGAAACAAAACAAAAACAACAAGATGAACAAAGATGAAGTTCATTCACAGTTCAGCTGGGTAGGTCTGGCTGGGTGAGCGGTGTGGGCTATTCACACCCCATTTACCGAGTTATTACACTGACAATTTCAAGCACATAACTTATCGAGCGGTGTTCTACTCGGCCAGCCAGCCAGGCAGGCGTCCCACAATTACCAACACCCCCCCAAATGACACCTTGTTTCGTACGCTGCCCCGCCACCCTCTTTAGCACCCACTTCTCGTTTGCTTTAACAGATCTCCCGGTAATTAAACGCTACACCAGCCGTTCACTCGGGACAAATATCATTCGGTGTACCTGTAAAACCTACCGCGCGAGGTGGTGCTGGGCCCCGTGGTGGCGGGGGTCGGAGGCGACGGGTCTGCCATACACAAATAACGCGGTATTACGTGATATCATCAGAGTATTCGTCATGCTTGTTCCCCGCTGTCCTGCTAACTTATTCATGTGACGTGTAAGTTGGTGCATTATGCCGCGTCCCTCACTTGATTACGTTACGTTACGGGGTGCCTGTGACAGATGGTGGGTGTGTGTGTGTGTGTGTGTGTTGGGAAGCAGGTTCTTGCCCCCCGGTAATTTCTATGGTTGAACTGGTTACAGAATTCATCTTTTCTTTAGCAAGGTTTTCCCTTCAATGCGTGATATGCTGGAGAGTGTTTTATTACCAACAAAGTTACGGTTAACATGTAAACCAAACCGGTCAATGACGACGAATGAGTGTAAAGATGCACTACGGTAAATGTGTATGTGGGTGTGTCTGTGTTTCTTATGTACGACTTTAGGCACATATGAGCATGGATGTGTAAGCTGTAAAGGAGGCACTAAGAAGCATTATTCAGTACCCAGTTGTTATAAAGTGTGAATGTCAAATATTTGGGAAACTCGTTAATCCAAACAGGTGTTTAAGTCGGTCCACAGGTGCATCTCATTCCCACAACATGGCGGCCGACCACAACTTAACATGCGTCCGCCTCCAGCCTCAGAGATACATTTAAAGATTCTACTTCTTGTCTCTCCATGACCTTCTCCCTGTCTCTCCTTAACCTCATACACGTCTCTCCCAAAGGTCCCTAACCTTCTACATGTCTCCCCCTGACCTTACGTCTCTCACTGACCTTCTTCCTGTTTTCCTTGACCTTAACTCTGTCTCTTCCTGACCTTCTCCCTGAGCTGACAAAATCACCTAAGTCTCTTAAGTCGTATCCTGACCACCCACTCTTCTCCCCCCCCTCCCCTTCTTTCCCATTCTCTGGTGTTGTCTTATTACTTATTTCCTAACCTTAAACTGAGATAATTTATCACATTATCCATCATCTTCCTTTAACTGGAGGAATCTTAACTGTTTCCTCTCTCTTTCTCTCTCTCTCTCTCTCTCTCTCTCTCTTCACTAACTTCTCTTCTTTAAGCGAGTTGTTTCCCCCTTCTCTGTTATGTTTTTTGTATGTATTTCTCCTTTAACTACCACTACATCCCCTTACCTTAACTACAGTTGTCTTCCCCCAAGCTAACCAGGTGTGTCCCCGCCACCTACCCAATACATTACCCGATGGCGCTGACGAGTTACTAAAATTACCTCTGACTAATTGTTGGTTCCTCCTGGTGGTATCTCGCCTGACGGGCCGGGGGTGGCAAAACAAAAGGCGAGCAGCGAGATGGTCACACCGACGGGCGACGGTGATGACACACGCACAAAAGCCGTCATCCGGACATAGAAAATTACTCGACGAAATCCCTTTTGTGGGCGCGGTGTTGTAGGCGTCCATTATCGTGTCGTGTGCGAGCTTAAGGCGGCAGTGATTGTCAAACAGCCTTGATTATTAGTTTAAATATTTCCCTTCGTATTGTCCTCGACTAGCTTTTTAATCGCAGTTAATGCATCAGTTTGCACGAGAGTCCTGTCAGCTAAGCCAACGAGACTTGGCCGAGTGAAATCGAGGCATCGTAAACCATGACACCGACCTGTAGAACAATTGGCGACACACTGTCTTAATAACAATTGAAATTCGACTACCGTTACAGGGTAAACATCATTATTCCGTGAAAGAATGTTTGTGTGCAGTCAGTGTTAAGCCTCCTGTACTACTGTTAATGTCCGCTCACTGCATTTTAGCTCAGCGTCATCTATTAAATAGAAAATTCAAACGAGCGGTCGACAGTACGTTGAGGAATCTATGTGGACTGGCCACGTCAGGTTCTTGCTAATTATTATATAGTGGCTTACAGAGGAGACATTCCA